GCATTTTTCTTCCCTTGTCCATCTCATTCATTTTAAGGTTCTAAACTCAATATTTTTAAATTATAATTTTAAATTCTTGACTACATGACACATTTTCTCATGAGTTATTTATTATCTCAATACAACAGCGTATTCACAATTTTCAAACAGAACTACCACCTTCATTTTGGGAATAACATGATTTAGCTAAGAATAGCTAAAATCCATGAATAAAAGAACAAAGAATGATAATAACCTATTTTACATTGTAATCTGCTGTAGCAAAATTCTGAGCACAAGAAGTGCCTAATGTTGCCAATTTATTGTAGCCGTAGCTGTTAGCCTGGGACTAGGAAGTCCCATGTATGCAAGCCTGGGTGAGACTCGGATTTTTGGGCTAGGTCGTGGTGAAGGGATTGGATCAGAGTTTCCAAAGTTGCCAGGGGAGGACCTTGGAGATAGATTGACTTGTTCAAGTGCCCGAGATTGCAGGTCAGCCGGGTAGTCTCTAACACACCCAATACGGGGACCAACTCCACTAGTCCACTTGCACGACAAAGGCTTTCCCACGTTGACTGCTGGTGGTTCAGCATTGATTGCATTGCCAGCTATGCTACTTTGTTCATGATCTGGTCCAATGCATTCATCATGGATGGAAACATTAGCATCCACCTCGTTTTCGCTTGTTGATTTTGCTATCGTGGACATATTTTTGGTCTCCTCTTGCTTGCGTCCGTCCACTGTCACTTTGAATGAGCCTTCATCATCATCTATTGAACATCTCTGTTGAGCAATGAAGAACATCAGCTATTTTATCTCTGTCTAATGTGAAACTTGGTTTATGTCTAATTAGAAGTTGAATTACCTTAACATTGCTCAAGTCCATATTGTAAACCTCAAGGAAAGTAATGAATTCCTTGAAGTTGTCTTCAGTTGGAAGATAATGACCACTGTAGGGCCAAATTGCCTGAAGAAGATAAGAATATTTCAGCCTCAAGGCAAGATATTTAGAGATTAAAAAAATAAATAAATAAATAAAATAAAAAAGAAGCTAGTCTGTAGTTGGTTTTTGCATAACAATTACCTCAAGGACTCCTTGATGAGCTACCAGTCTTCCAGCAGCCGTCGTAGCACCACCAGATAAGAAGCTTGAGTGCTGAAAGACACCTTTCTTCTTCTGCCCCACATACAAGGCTCTAGATGTGCTCAGCACAAAAATCCACTTAGATCCCTCAACAGTGTTGAGAGGAATTCCAGTTTGCTTGTAAACAAGTCTTCCACTTTCCACTATCACTTCATATGCCTCCCTCTCTTTCTGCAAAATTGAAAAGCGTAAAGAGATGTACAAAGGTTATGCAACAGAGCTTGTTGTCGCATATCTGCAGTAGAAATTAAATGTGATTGGTCCAAGGTTTGCACTTCACATTGATAGGGCAATAGATAAGGCTTACTGGTCCAAGATATATAATACATTGACGTTGCAGATTGATCCTGGGGCACTTCTCCAGATTTAATTCTTTACCATCACCAACATCCAACCTTCATTTTAAGGGTGAAAAATGTTCTTCAGTGTGGTATGGTGAAAATTGGCAAGTTTCCCTAATGCAACTATATCATATACCAGGTAAATTTTGTAGAGCACATTACCAGTAGAAAAAAGGTTGAGTACTCCTGCTTTCAGACCAAATATCATAATAGAAGTGCAAATTGTGTCCATAACGATGGCGTGGATCAATCTGCAAAAGGAGGAAGAACATAAGATGAGACGTGAGATTAAATGAAAAGAAAAATTTGTTATTGCATTAGCTTGAATTAGCAAAACCAACTTTTTCAAGGCAGCATGGCTTTGAAATGGAGTAGAAATCAAATCATGAAAACTAAAAGGAAGAAGCTTATAGGCTTACAGCTTCTAGCCAATGTTGAAGAGCTAGTTTTTGAGCCTTCTCATCCTTGGACAGACCCTTCCCTACCTACATACAAAAGGATCATCTCTTTAATTTTCCAAGCAAAAAACATAACAAATACCTTTTACAATATGATTAGGTACCTTGGCAGCCCTTGTTCGAGCTCGCAACCACCGTGACATGGCAGTTTCCTGTTTCTCAACCTCATAGAAGGATATAGAGCACCGTTTGAGTGCTGCAGAATCCAGGGTCTTCCACCTACAATATTTTAGTGAATACAAGAAAAAGGTCACTCAAAAAGACTAAAGAACCAACAAAAGAACCAAGAAATGGGGATTATCTAGATACAAACCAGAGCTCTTCAACCACAACGGCACAATCTGCAAGATTCCTTCTAGTCCTATAACTCTTGTAAACCTTCTGAAGCCTAGTTGCAGCAGCATCAAGCTCATTAACAGGCCTTGGAGAAAACATTATCACTGGATCAGGAAGCCTGATGCTGAGTTTTGTTATATGGATTGTTTCACGAGCTTTATCATTCAAAGAGACTGAATTCACAGTCTTTTGTTCTTGAACTGAATTACTTCCTTCCCTCTTCATTACCGTATCATCTGAAACATCAAACATGTTAATGGAGTCTGAATCATCTTCCTTGAAACGCTTTATTCTAAAATCTACTTCTGTTTCCTCTTTCTCAAGACTCATGGACCTCAGGATAGCCTTGTCTACAATGTAAATTGAATTGAAAATTTTATTTCTCAGGATTTCATTCCATGGAGATAACAGAGAAGAAAGAGAAAGACCCATTCGCTTTCTAAGCTCTTGTACCCACTTTAACCTGTTGTATCAGAATCATTAAACATGCTCATTTTATTAGATAGACAATCCTGATTCAAAGAGAAAATACAGAATTGAAGAAACAACAAGAATTGAAATTGAAATTCAAAGAGAAAATACAGAATAAAAATGATGCATTAGAAGCTACAGAAGACATCAATATGAATCACCTCAAAAACCCAAATAAACAATGAATCAAATCCATGGACAGAATATGAAGAAACAAACAGAATGTATGCATTAACCGAATAAGAAAACAAGAAGTTAAATGAAACAAAATCGAATACATAGGAAATGCAATAATTTTAGCTAAACCCATTTAGCGTTAACAATTGGAAATTGAAAAAATGAAGAGAATTGAAATGGAACTCATCACCATTCACTACGCACCTAGAGCTCCAAAAGGTCTCTTATTCCTCTTTCTGTTTCTGTGAAGACCTGCTGAAGGCGATGAAGTCCAGCTGCTAAGTATTGGGAATATACTAGGCTACTGCGCTTCTTTATAGAGCAGGAACGGAAAAAAGGGAGCTTGGAAAATCAAAGGATGCCCACGTCTTTATGTGGAAAATATGGAGAGGACAAAACAATTCAAAATAAGATTGTAAGAAACCAAGAAAGTGCAGTAAACATTGTCCATATGGGAACTTCCAAGAATTTGAAGGGAGAGATTGAAGAAGGTCTAAGTAAGACCAGACCAAGCATGTTTTGTATGGGGGAAAGGAGATATGACTCCGGAGCACCTCTCTTGTTTTACACTCTTTTTTTTTTTTTAACATAATTTCATCTTAATTAATTCAAAATTAACGCACATAAACCTTATTTGAAAAAAATCCTCTATATTTTTACTTTTTCGTTCACGTAACTCAAATTTAAAATACTTTTTTAAAAAAAATATCAAACTTGTTTAAGTACTTATTTCTTTCTTTAACTCGAGGTATTTTATTTTAAAAAAATTGAAAGTTGGACACTCACACCAATAAATAATTTATACACACGTTGGTATTTGAAGCTGGGGCCAGTCTGCCTATGAATTGTTTATTCTGTTTCCAACTTTCCAGTTACCCCACAATGCGGGTAGTGGTTATTGTCAACGCACATCTTTGTCATGCCTTAGATAATTTTATCGTTATTTTTTTAATTTATAATTTTTTAATAATTAATTATAATATTTAAAAACATTTGTTTGTAAATTAATTTTAAATTTTTAATATCCTAAATAACAAAAATATTCTTTTTTATTTTTGATAAAAAAATGATTAAATTAAATATTAGTATCTATTATTTTATAAAAAAATCAAATCTTGAAACTGTATATATTTCATCTGTTATCCAATGAATAACATGATTATCATTATACCGCATGAAAGATTACAACAAAAATATTAATTGTTTTATTATTAACTGTTTTTAATGATTAAATTAATAAATTATCAATTAAAATTTTAAAACTTTAATACAAATCTATATAATCATAACCATAACTCAAAATAAAATTATTCTAAAATATTAAATTGACTTAACCAATTTATATATATATACAAAAAATTTGCAACAATATGGTTCTAGTTCCGAAGAACTCGAAAAATTGGTTTCGTACATGCCAATTGAGGCGGAACTAGGATTCAATCATGGGTAAAGCCTATTATTTTTCTACAAATAAATTATTTATATAGCCACATAACCTGAAGTAGTCATACCTTAACTTTTACTTGATTTTTTTTTGAGTTGGGGCAAGACCTGTGCCTAACCCAGCTCAGTGTAGGTCCGCCCCTGCATGCCAACGGTTACTAGTGAAGTCCTTTAAATGAATGTATCAAAAAGACTTACTCTGTTGGGTAAACCATGCATCGAATACAAAAAGGTAAAAAAGAAAAATGAATAAAAAGAAGAAGTCAAAGTCTTGGTAGTTGGTTTTTGATTAAATACCAACAACCGAGTCGTGCACAAGTAGTTTTGCATTAATTGGCCGGTAACAAGTAGATATCTAATATTAATGCCTCGCACTAGATTCATCCAAGAGCAATAAAAAATTGTATTGCAGTGCCAAGTTTCTTGTCGATAAAAATTAATATTTAACCTCTCACTTTATAAAATTAATAAGTTTTAGTTCTTCACTTTATAATATAACAATTTTAATTTTTTATCTTACAAAATTGATAAATTTTAACTCCTCACTTTACAAAATTGATAAGTTTTAACCCTTACCTTATATTATGATATTTTTAATTCCTCATTGATACGAATTAAAAAAAGTAGTCCTCACCTAACATCATATTATAATATTCTGTTAGTTTTCTTAGTTTTGTTAGTTCTGTTAGTTGATTGTTAATATCCGTTAGTATTTCATTATAAAAAACATGAAATTTAAATTCAATTTTATTTGTTAGTTTTATTAACAGAATATTAACGAATACTAATAGTTAACTAACAAAACTAACAAAACTAACAATCAACTAACAAAATAATAGTTAGCTAACAGAATTAATAAAATATTATAACTTGATATCAAATATGAACTAATTTCTTCAATTCGTATAGATAAGGGGTTAAAAATGTCATAATATAAGGTGAGAAGCTAAAACCTATCAACTTTGTAAGGTGAAGGTTAAAACCTATCAACTATGTAAGGTAAAGGACTAAAAGTATCATATTATAAGGTAAAGGACTAAAAGTATCATATATATAAAGTTAAGGACTAAAACCTACCAATTTTGTAAAGTGAGAGACTAAAAATTGATTTTACCCGTTTCTCGTCCAAGATGTAGCCATCCACATGGAAAAGAGTTGCTAAGTTACACCCAATGGAATTTCCATTCAAAAGGCGACAGCACGCCTCCCCTGGTTGATACAACTAGCGGTATTGGTGGTGCAACAGGAAAGTTTGAATGAGTGAAGGATTCTTAACCAATTCTGAAGTCATTGAAACCCATGTGGGGGAAGACTAGAACATTCATGGTCAAATCAATGAGTAAAGCATACGGAACAAGTCTAACTGACAGAGATATTCAAATCCTATATAAGATTAAAGATTAAGATAACGACGACAAACATAAATGCCACAAACAACAATAGCAACTGCAAGTTGATCCCAGCATGATTGTACTTGCAGCTACAAAGCACTTCATAGAATTAATTTATACCACACAAGATTTGTATTTGCAATTGTCATTTGAGATAATGTTGAACTAATTTATCTGAAGCCAAATATATTTTGAACGGAGCATACTGAGAAGGGCATCCTTGATCAGCTCCCCTTTCAAGTCCCGGTGGATGCTGACTTAGATTTCTGTCGGGGTGGAATGTTTAGCCAACCTTTCATAATGTCATATGCCGTGAAACCAATTGCCACCGAAGGAACGATCTGGCAACAAAGTTTCTAAACCTTTTCAGTCTTGGCTATTTAGTTATTTAACGACTACCATGATATAATTTCTCAGCAGATAAACAACCTTTATGTAATTGATGCTAAGGCCTGCAAACAGCTGTCTCCATCCTTGATTACGGGCAATAGTGTTTAGTCCTTCCAAAGTGTTTCTGTATCTGGTATCACCTTGAACTGAGGGTTGAAGACTTTCAACCTATGAAGTAACATTCAAAATAAACTTCAAAACCCCAAATCCAAATTCCCCTTGCAATTTCGAAATAAGGTTATAAATCAACCAGCAATTAATATAAGACATACATTGAGCATTCACAAGTACGCTGATAAGATAATATGAATTTAGACATCACGTAAAAATACCCATGATATATATATTAAAAACCCACAAAAGAGGTGAATTATGCCACACAAGCAATTGGACTAATAATTACCACCCATTAGGGTCCATGGGTATACCTGCATCTGTCTCCTAACAACATCAAGCGGGTATGTGAAGGTCTGACCTAGCAACCCAGCTAGAGCTCCACAAGAAAGACGCATTACAATGGATTTTTGGTGCTCTTCAGGAACATGGCTCTTGAGTTCCTCATAAATATAGAACTTCAGACCAGCATAAGGTAGAATCCCAGTGAGTGTTGGTCCTACACAAAAATAGAAAGTTTGTGAAGAAAAGCCATATATTACATGAAACATGAAAATCCACCACAAACACGCACACGCATACAAAAATGAAGAAGAAGAGGAAGAAGAAGGAGAGGAAGGTTCCAATCTGAATATCAGTTTATCCTACCATACTATTAGATAGGAACAGGACAGAATGATTGGCAGTGGCATTGAACTGGCCTTTGTCAAATCAAAATTTTTAGGCGCTATATAAAACATGAAGCATGAGAAGCCATCAGATACATACCTACACCTCGATATAATGCACGCACTCCCCCTTCCCTGTAGACAGTCATCAGTACATCTTTTATGCCATCATACATTGGTTGACGAAATGCACTTTTCATGCCACAGCTTAAATTTCCTCTAGGATCCACAACCTATTGAACAATCAACAACACTACATTAATTAAAAATAGAAAACAGATGAAATAATAAATCATTGAAGTAAAAATCCTTGTAAAAGCATAGCTTAGCCGTCACCTACTTCACTAGTCCAATCATTCTGAGGGGAAGAAAGAAAATATAAAAGAATATTCATGACATCTGCTTGCCTGATAAGCAAGCTTTGTACGAGCTAGATCCAGAGGATAAGTGCATAAAACAGCTGTTCCCCCAGCGACAGAACCAGCTAAGAGATCTACAACAGAACCTGATCCTAAGGCCGGATAGTTATTCAAGATCCACAATCGATACTGCTCATAAGTCATAAAATGTAAAGCTGCATAAGGAACAATTCGAAGAACACTAGCTCCATTTCCCCTACAAAATGAAATAATTAAAAATTAGACTAATCCAAAAGAGCTGGGATTGAAGAAAATGGTAAGACTTACTTATAGAATCCAAGAAAACCTTCATGCTTGAGAACTTTCTTTAAGGATTGATACACCCCAAGTGATTGGAACCCTTCAGTCCTAGTCTATAGAACAGATAGAGGGAAGGAGGGAGGGAACAGAATCATGTGAGAATTATAAATCAATAACACGTGCAAAAAAAGACATTTTTGTGAATAAACAGGGTAAGAAACAAAAATGACTTCAAACAATTATTTTAACTCCAGTCTAGCAAAATGCTAGGTAAAAGATCACCAATTCATGTTGTGCTAGATGAATGCATAGAGCTTCACCTGCAAGAGGATTTTAACGCGTTCTAAAGGTGCAACAGCTGTTTTAGCAAATGCTCCAGCAGCACCACCAGCTATTAGCTCCTTAACATAAACCGGCAAATAATCAATGCATGAAACCTCTCTGCACGCCGATGAGCCATCAACAAACCCAGCCACATTTGTTGACAGTGTGGACCCTTGAGAAGAACTCATCTTTAAAGAATTCAGCTCAAACCAAATATTCTACCAAAATCTCTCGGAATTTGACAAAAAATTATTATCCACCCTCAAGCTCAGAGAACTCCTTATCCCATCGATCTCTGGGGATACAAAAAGAGCAGGAATTCTGTTGGAACGGCAGATTTAATGGCTTGAGAACTCCCAGAGATGAGCGGGGCTCATTCACAAGCTGATCCTTCTCTTCTATAACAGCAAGATACATCAACAGATACAGAGAAGCAGACAATAAAACCAAAAATCCCTTCGATCACAACGATGCTCCCATGGATCTATCACAAAAACATCACCATATATCTAGTAAATCAGTTTTAATCAAAATTGTAAACTAAAAACAATTACCCAGATAAAATAATCCAAATCCCTCCTCCAAAAACATTAAAGCCATGAATTTCAAGCATAATAACAGCATATCCTTATGAGGTTTGATCGACCCAATAAAAGATTACACAGATTTCACATCCCAATCAAAATCAAACAATACCCCCAAAAGAAAATATCATTGCCCAAAAAAAAGTAACAGAAAGCATTCAACTTTTGGATTGAAAACAACAAAAGAAAGAAGAAGATGTACCGGGAACTGAATGATCGTGTCAGAGAAGAACAGGCGTCGATCTTAGCCAAAGCTTATGCGTCAGTACCCGTTCTCGCTCGACACGAGAAGGTTTCCTTGGTGGTTTTGTTTGTCACCTCTCTAAAACTCCAACCCCTTTTCTTCGAACGCGCTTTATTGAATGGAAATTTGAAAGGAGAATCCTTTCTTGGGGAGCTGATGTGCTACAGCCGGCGCGGAACAAATCACTGGATCTTCGCCCGCACGTTTTCAATTATATTTCCTGCTAATTACGAAAAAAATGAAAATAATTAAATCCTCACCGTTTAACAAAGTCATCTACCGAATAAAATTAAGGAAAAGTGAGTCTTAATTTAAATGGTAAAAAATTAAATAAAAAAAATCTCATAATTATCTACTTTTAATAAAATTTTATTTAAAATATTTTATCTTAATTCCTTT